TCAATCAACCAATCAACCGAATCAATCAATCAATCAACCGAATCAATCAATCAATCAACCGAATCAATCAATCAATCAATCAATCAATCAATCAATCAATCAATCGAATGAATCAAACAATCAATCAATTGAGTCAATCAAACAATCAATCAAACCGGTTTAGAGATTCTGAGCTTGCAACAAATGGATAGAGGCTTTCAATGCATATAAGGAGATTTCATAATTGATAAAAGGACATAATGAATAAACAGTTAAAGTTTACAAACTCTTAAAAAGATTTAACGGATGGGAAGGGAGAAAAAAAAAAAAGTTAAAACACCGGTTCTCCCGAAGCTCAGCTGCCCTCTTACCGGTGTACGCAGCAGTATGAGCGTACTGCTTCAGGTCTGAAGTGGGTCGGAAGAGTATGTCCTGTGCAGGTCACTATGAAACGGCCCAGTCGGAGGTTTGCGAGCCCCGGAAGGTAGCTGCATGCACATATGCTCTGCTGAACTGGTGGTTTTAAGAAAGCGAAAAAAAAAACCCTACGACTTCACTCCAATCAATCTATTGACAAATCAATCAATCAGAAACCAAATCATCAATCCATCGACCAATCGGCCAATCAACCCCAGATCATTTGAAGATTCTGAGCTTCCAAACTCGGTAAGAGGATCCCAATCCAAATTATCCAATGCAAATAAGGACGACGCGTTCAAGATAAAGGAGACTTTATACTGATGATGATCATGATGATGATGATGATGACGACGATGAAGATGACGATGATGATGACAATGACAACGACCATGACAACGACGATGACAACGACGATGACTATGATGATGATGACGACGATGATGACAGCAAGGATGACGGGGCGATCTGATGATGTGGTGGAGATGGGGTGACGATGGGATGACGATGGGGTGACGCTGGGGTGACGATGGGGTGACGATGGGGTGACAATGGGGTGACAATGGGGTGACAATGGGGTGACGATAGGGTGACGATCCGGTGATGACACAGTCATGATGTGGTGATGATGTGGTGATGATGTGGTGATGATGTGGTGATGATGTGGTGATGATTTGGTGATGATGTGGTGATGATGTGGGGATGCTGTGGTGATGATGTGGTGATGATGATGCGGACATGATGTGGTGATGATGGGGCAACATAGTGCTGTGGTGATGATGTGATGATGTGATGATGACACAGTTCACACAGTGGCAGAATTCAGACGTTGACAAGCGAGGGCTGGGGATCACTGCATCTTGGCAAAGAACAGTGAAAAGGAGAAGGCAAGGAGTTGGGAGGAGGAAGGGGAAGAGGCTGACAGGTTATGGTAGCATTTCTGGCTCTTGATCAAGAAGAACAGACACAACACGCATACAGGAGGTGATGACGAAGACGAAGAAGAAGAAGAAGAAGAAGAAGAAGAAGAAGAAGAAGAAGAAGAAGAAGCAACTGGCCCATGACGCTGAAAATGGGGTGGCAACAACCCCTTTCGAAATATGACCCCTTTTGGCAATGTGCAGTGGCAAAGGTACACAACAACCCTTTTCCGAAACATGACCCCTTTTGGACATATGTTTCTTGTCATGACTTTCTCTAGATCGAAACACGAAATGATTCAATAAATTTTCTTTCAACAAACAAACAAACAAACATAACCAGAAAAATGTGGGGTGAGTCCTCTCTCTCACCCTTTCACGCTCTCCCTCTCTTTGCCGTTGCGCTAAAAAGCTCGCCGCTTGTGTCGCACGCCCCTGAAAGCAACCCAGTTTCAGAACCTCAAAGACAATCCACCTCCCGTGTCTTTTTCCTTGATTAGTTCATTGATTCCTTCCGTGATCAGTTGACTGATTGGGATCGGTTGATTGACTGCTGACTCTTGGCTGCTAATATATATCGTATATATATATCGTCACATGAATATCAGAGCGCAAAGGTGAAAAAAAACAGAAGAAAACAAGAAAAAAATAATTCGTTTTTTTATCTTCTTTCTTACAACTCCCCCTGTTCAGAACCTCTTGCGTACAAGGCCGCCCACATGGATGTAGGTCGAGCGGCGGCTGCCCCAACCCTCGTGTGTCATATCGACCCACTTGCACACAGCCAAAGGGCAAAGAGGCAAAGAAAAGAGGAAGGGAACAGCCAAATACAACAAAACAGGGCGTATATATATCATCACACTGTGTATCGGGGCGCCAAGGCGAAAAAAGACAAAACAAAAAAAGGAAAGAAGGAAGGAAAGCTCCGCCTGTTCATCACCTCTTATGTACAAAGCCGGTCACGTGGATGACAGGTTGAGCGTCGGCTGCCCCCATCCCTGTGTGTCCCAAGGACCCACTTGCATGCAGCCAAAAGGCAAAGAGGTAAAGAAAAGGAGGAGGAAACCAAACCTCACAGAAGCAAGAGAAAGAGAAAAGGATTCAGTCAAAGAAAGGACAAGGGAAGAGGAAGGCCTATCAGTCAAACAAAGAAGATGACACACCCCATCTTTTTTTTTTCCCTTCAGCAATTTGTTCTTTAATATATATATTGCATGGGTCCTAGGGACCATCTCACGCAAATGTGTACATGTCATGCATCATCTTCACACGCAGTGATCAATAGTATCAACCATAGACAAAGGTAGAGAAGAAGAGGACCGAGTTTCACAGCTTATATTATCAGAAATATGAATACAAAGTGTTTCAAAGTTCCCCTGAGTCCAGCGCTCATCAGCGCAACACCAAATCTCATATCAACTCATCGATATGGCTTCCAATGTATCAGCGTTACATCTGCAGACAATCTCCAAGTCGTCAATGTGGTCACTACTTCTTCAGCGCCACCTCTGCAGATCACATCTAATCCAGGTAAGTATCTTCCATAGCCGAACCTTGAATGAACACTTTCAGCCTCAGTCCCTTCCTCCTACGATGCATACACACTCTTCACTCATGAGGATCTACTCTGGATACTACTCATAGCTACATACTAACCCACTACTACTAATGCTAACTTGCTGGGCAGCTATGGCTGCATCACTTCCAGCATGCAGGCTTCTCCCTTCACTCAGCGCATCTTCTCCTTCCAGCGCTGCTCCTACTAGCTCAACGCACAAGTGCTCCAGCACTTCCACGCTGATACAGCCAGTGGAGATCTGGCGAGGAATGAGGCTGGCTGCCTCCTTTATACTCCTCGCTGGGTCTGCATTGGCTCAATTCAGCCTCTTTCCCTGTCCCAGACCCTGCATTGCATGTGTCCCAGTAGAGTCCCAAACGAAGTTCAACTGCTGCTGAGGCCTCCCGGCCTGAATTTGGACTTGAAAGTCTGGATCCGGACTGACCCCTGGACTTGGACCAGAACTGGGACTGTGCCTATTGACTTTACTTTCGGACAGGCACAACTCTTAACGAACAGACATTTACTGCTTGAACAGACACTTTACTTTGCACCAACAGGTACACTGCCTGCACGTACAGACACACCATTACCCGAACAGACATGACATACACATCTCCTGGTGAACAGGTAAGTCTTTTGACAATGCCCTTTGCCTTAGCTTTAGATATGCCTGTTGATAGAGAGCTTGACCTTTGACCTGCTTTCACGTTTCTGAGCTCTGGCGAGATACCTTTTCACAATGCTTTACTTTTTCAAGGCCCATGCTGCTTTATTTTACAAGGCCTGAGGCCTAAATCGGGTAAAGGCCCTTTTAATATTATCACTTACAGTGTAATCAGTTAGGGGATTCTGCAGACTGTTGAGGGTTCAGCCTCCTGATGAGTCATTGAAACTCCAACGAAACAGTTTGTCACAGCCCCTCGTTTGTTGTCCTCTTCTCCCTCTCCGCCTACTCTTTACCGGGCAGCTCTGTTTGGCGATATATACCACGACTTCGCTAGCACCCTGCTACAGTTTCTCCGGTCAGGTTGAGCGGCAGTGGTCGGGGCCGTCACTACGCGGGCATGCTGTGCCGCTCTAGCGTGTCTGGAGTGTACTTTTGGGCTGTGACAGACCTTTCTTTGTTTCGTGGGTGTTTTGCTGGCTTGCGATGGGGTGCGAACCGACAGTCTGTAGAGTTTTCCATCTGGTGTGGGTGAGTGATAGTCTGCTTTGATTTCCGTCACAGTCTGCTTTGATTTTCGTCACAGGTACTTTGAGGGCAGTGGTTGGTGGTCCCCACCACCTCAAGGTATCAGTTGTCAGGCAGTTGTTGATGCTTAACCTATATATCGTCACACAGAGCTGCCCGCCAGACCGTAGGCAGAGAGGGAGAAGAGGACAAGAAATGAGGGGCTGTGACAAACTGTTTCGTCGGAGTTTCACCGACCGTTCAGGAGGCTGAACCCTCAACAGTCTGCAGAATCCCCTAACTGATTACACTGTAA